CCCCCCACGTACACACACTCTAACACACCCTCACACACTCTCATACACACCCCCCTCACCTCCATCCTCACACACACTCACCCCCACACACGCTCACATACCCCCACACCCTCCTCCCACACACGTATGCACACACCCTTACACACACGTCTTCTCACTCCCCCACACGTACACACCCTCTAACGTGCACACACACATCCATACTCTCATACACACCCTCACAATCCCTCACCCCCACCACCCTCACACACGCACACCTTCACACACACCCTCACACCCTTCACCCCACCCCTTCTCACACCCACAAACCCTCATCCCCCACATTCTCACACAAATGCACATGCACACACCCCCTCTCACACAAACATCCTTACAGGCACATGCTTGCAACTCCTTCACTTCACAACCCTACAGAGTAGGCGTACCCCTCTACAACCCATGTAGATTCCTGTACCCGTGGACTCACAACAGACACACTGACACACATCTTAATGCTGCCTCCAACAGACTTTGACAAAGATATGTTCACAACACCTTCACTCACATACACACACTCATCTTCTCACACTTATATACGTCCACATACATTCACACACCCTCATACACATATACGTCCTCACAAATGATCACACTCACACACACTCACACTCATATACATTCTCACAGACACCCTCACATACACACCCCTCACACCCATACATCCTCACACACACACAGTCTCACCCCCCACTCCTATACATCTCCACATACACGTTCACACACCCACTCATGCTTGTACACATCTGCGCGCGCATGCGCGCGCGCACACACACACACACACATTCACATTTGTGTAGACACAACGCTATGGACCTTCACACAGACCTGCTCACATCCCATCACACTCACAGCCACACAACAGACACGTGGATACTACCAAACAGTTATCCCACGTAGACACCTGCTCTCACACAGCTTCACACCCCAACCAAAACAGTTCCGAAGACATGTCCACATGCCCCTTCAACAGTTCACACTAAGGTACTCAGAAACATGCGCACATATTCACACAAATGCACAATATTATTGCATAAACCTTCATGCTATAAACAGCTTCACACGAAACATATTTACAACATCAAACACACACACACACACACACACACACACACACACACACACACACACACACACACATTCTCTCTATGCTTCCAACCCCTGTTTCCATCTCAAACCACTGAATTCACCTCCTTCCTTTGTGCTCACCTCCATCCTCTGTGCTCATCTCCATGCTCTGTGCTCACCTCCACATTCTGTACTCACCTCCATGGTCTCTATCCACCTCCATGCTTTGTCCTCACCTCTTTCCTCTGTGCTCACCTCCTTCCTCTGTACTCACCTCCATGCTCTGTGCTCACCTCCACATTCTGTACTCACCTCCATGGTCTCTATCCACCTCCATGCTTTGTCCTCACCTCTTTCCTCTGTGCTCACCTCCTTCCTCTGTACTCACCTCCATGCTCTGTGCTCACCTCCACATTCTGTACTCACCTCCATGGTCTCTATCCACCTCTATGTTCTGTGCTCACTTCCATGCTTTGTCCTCACCTCCAAGCTCTGTGCTCACCTCCATCCTCTGTGCTCACCTCCTTCCTCTGTGTTCATCTCCATCCTCTGTGCTCACCTCCATGCTCTGTGCTCACCTCCATGATCTGTGCTCACCTCCATGATCTGTGCTCACCTCCATACTCTGTCCTCACCTCCTTCCTCTGTGCTCACCTCCATCCTCTGTGCTCACCTCCTTCCTCTGTGCTCACCTCCATGATCTGTGCTCACCTCCATGATCTGTGCTCACCTCCATGCTCTGTCCTCACCTCCTTCCTCTGTCCTCACCTCCTTCCTCTGTCCTTACCTCCTTCCTCTGTGTTCACCTACTTCCTCTGTGCTCACCTCCTTCCTCTGTGCTCACCTCCATCCTCTGTGCTCACCTCCATGCTCTGTCCTCACCTCTTTCCTCTGTGCTCACCTCCACGCTCTGTCCTCACCTCCACACTCTGTCCTCACCTCCATGCTCTGCACTAACCTAATTTTCTCTTCCCTCTTTCATGCTCTTTTGTTTTTGCCCATCCTCTATGACCATATCTATTTTCTGTGCCTATCTCCACCCTCTGTGTACTGTCCACCCTTTACGTCAGTTCAACCTCTGTGCCCACCTTTACCGTCTGCATCCACCCCTATCTTCTTGCTGTCTTTCATTCTCTCTTCCCCCTCTGTCTGTGTCCTGTAGACTCTGCATTCACTACACCCTCAGAAGTAGCCCAGGAGATGTTTTTCCGGAAGCTAAGCCACCAGCAGGCCACCTTCCTGGGAACCTTTGGCTTCCCCTGGTGACGTCTCACTCAGGCCTCAGGAAGAGAGGAGGAGAGTAGGTGGGCACGCTCAGACTCATGCAGATGTGGGGGCTGGGCAGGGCTTCATCCTGTTATACGAAATGTCGCTGGGAGTCGGAGCCCACCTGAGGGACAGTTGTTCTTATGTGCTGTTGAGTCACTTGCAACTCCTAGCGACCCTATGTA